ATAAAGTTTGTTTGCAGAAACTTAATGTGTGTGACATTAACTCAGGGGCGGAGAGGCTGGGGGAAGTGTTCTCTCTAAGAGTTTCCTCCCATGAGCAAAATGAATTTTGTGTTGTGCACCTGTACTGAGTTCACATGGCTTGTTTGGATGTGCCACTGCTATTAATAAATATCTTATAAACCGCTACCTTTTCCTTGTGCTGCCAAATCTCCCCTTGCTCCATCAGCTCCCCTCGTGCCTTCTGCCCCCCAATCCCTCACCCTCCTCTGCTCTCCTGACTCCTGCCCTTCTCACTGTCCTCAGCCTTCCTGAGACCTGCCCCCCTCCACCAGCTCTTCTCTTCCCTCTGTGCCCACTTCTCCAGTAGCCCCACTCTGATCATGTGAGCTACCCCTCCTCATCCCCTCTCCTAACACCTCCCTTTACACACCTGCCCTGCCTCTCCCCTCTGGTGCTGGTCCCTCCCCTGCAGGTCTCTGCCCTTCTGCTTCCCCCCCAGAATCCCCTGGAACTTGCAACTTCCCTTAGCCCTGCACCCTTCTGGTGCTCCCCCTTCCCTCACTGCCTCTTCCCCCTTTGCCCTCTTTTTCCCTGATGCCCATCCCCTCACCATCCTCTGCCCCCGTTCCCTTCATGCCCCTGTGCCCTCACATGTCTTGCTCCATCCCTGCCTTCCTCATGCCCACCCCTTCTTTCAAGCCTTCTCCCAGCACCTCCTCCTCCCCCTCAAATGCCCAATACCCTTCCCCTCTCCTCTCCCAGCATCACCCTGTCCCCACTCCCACTGACACCTCCCCTCCTGCCCTTTTCCTCATTGTCTCCACTTGGCCCCCTGGCATTTGTGTCTCCTCCACCTTGTTCCTTGGTGCTTTCCCCTTTAATCTCCTGACTTGCCCCCCTCCCCTCAGCACAGGCCTCTTCCTCTCCCACCCCTGCCTATTTTCCCCCTCTCCCTTTCCCTTACCTTAGGCTAAGCCATCTTCTGCCTTCCAGCTTGCCGGGCTCGAGTCAGAGCCAGCCCAAGCTACAGGCCGACCGGGCCCTAGCTTGGGGTGCCTTACTTTAAGGGGCACCACGCGGTGCTTCCAGGCCGGGCGGGGCCAAGGACGAGGCCCCGTCAGTAGAAGGGGCGATGCGGCCAGGCTGGGCCAGGCGGGGGCACTCCCAGACGCAGAATGGGCACCGCACAGTGCTGCTGGGATGGGTGGGGCCGGGGCCAGGGCCGCCCCACATTGCTGCCAGGCTGAGGCCGAGGCTGGGGCTGGAATCCCGGCCCCAGGCGCAGAAGGCGCACTGTGCGTTGCTGCCGGGATGGGGCCGAGGCTGAGGATGGGGTCAGGGCTGGGGTTGGGGCTGTGGCCCCAGGGTCAGAAGGGTGCTGCTGGGCCAGGGCCGAGGCTGGGGCTGGAACCCAGGCGCAGAAGGGGTGCCACGCGGTGCTGCCGGGATGGGAGGGGCCGAGGACTGGGCCAGGACCCTGGGTGCAGAATGGGCGCCGTGTGGTGCTGCTGGGCCGTGTGTCTCAGGGTGGCGTCTTTGGTTCAATCCCAGCTGCTTCCGCCACACACGTGCACTTTCTGCCCCAAAGTGCCCATTGCTGCAGGGCTGGGTGGGGCCAAGAGCGCAAAAATGGCTCGGGCTAGCCGGCCCGAGACATTAGGGTGTGCCTGGGCATACCCGGCACACCCTGTGCGCACTCCTATGGCCTCTGCATAATTATGTAATTAATGGTGAGTTTGCATTAGCAAATGGTGGTCTGCGGAAAGGTTTACACTGAGTCAGGTGGTTCATGGACCAAAAAGTTTGAGAACACTGGAACAGAGCTACTCCCAGCCTCTAAGAATTAATGCAATGCAAGTTGGGTTAATGCAACTTGCATATAGTGTAGTTGCATGGAGGCATCCTGTGGGGCCCAAACCCATCCCTGTTGGTAGAGGATGGTGGGAGGAGTTCTTAGAGGGGGGGTCACAGGACACCCTTTACTTCCGGTCATGTCAATCTTGACTCCGAAGTACTACCTCCAGGGGTGGGACTTCCTGTGGTAGGAGGGCAGGGCCTTAGGGGTCAGGGGACATGGCAAAAGAGGCCAGGGCATGGCTAATAAAGTCCGGGGGCATTTTTGGTTCAGAAAATATGGTCACCATAGGGATGTTGCTAAATGGATCTAATCTGCAGTGTAGAAAGTGCTAGGTCAATGGAAAAATGCTTCCAAAGTCTAGTTGCTGCCTCTTGGGGAGATGGATTAACTACAGTGGGTCAGGAGAACCTCTCCTGTTGTGTTGAGTGTTTGATGCTCTACAGCAGCACAATTTCAGCTGTGCTGGGGAAGCTTTTTATCTGTAGGCATATCCTTGAGTTAAATAGTCATTAACAAAAACAGAGTTTTAGACAATCAGAATGAAAATCACTTCTCACATCTTTTATCAGCAAAGATTGTAGGGCATCTCATACATCATACTTCAGAGAGAGTATTAGCTAATTGCATTGAAATATAGCCAGTTTTATGTGTGTGTCCTGAACATGATACAATGATATGCTGCACAGAAATATATAGTACATTCTTCTAAATAGAAACACTGCTTATTCAGACAAACTGATAACACTGACCTAGACCTTTCCAGATTTAATACATTCAACTTAGTAAGTGTGTTTTTGCATAAATAAAAAATATTGGATTACAGCTTTTTTCTGGCACAATTTACTGCTGTTTAACAATGTTAGTTGAGCCAAAACCAGTGGAAAGTAACCTTCAAAATGTTAATCTCTGCAATTATTATTTCTGGAGGCAGCTTTAATGAAAAGTGGTATTCTTTGGTACTCAAAATTTGAGAGAATTTTGTTTACACAGAACTTTCCAGAAAGTGAGTTGAAGGATATGTCTGGTTACTGCATTTTGTCAAAAATTACTATCACCAATTCAATGAAAGGAAAGACATTAACCTTTAAATGTTGTTCTTTATGAAATGCCAAGTCTTAAATTTAATTTCTGGATAAGATTCTTATTTCCTTAAAATCCACCATTTTGTCAAGAGCATATGTTTATTAATTATTATTTATTAATTTGAATAATTAGTACGTTTCCTCTATTTTACAGTCTGGAAAAAATAGGACACTGAATGATTTGTCCAAGATCTTTCTGAGTTAACGAGAAAGCTAGGATTACAATCTTGTTCTCTTAATTTTCCCGTTCCTTCTAACCTGGACTATGCTGCTTTCCATTATGTTTTAAACTTATCTGATTTCAATATTCTTTTTGGTTTACCAGTTCATCAAAATGAAGAAAACAGCAACCAGGAAACAAAAGAGCCAAAAGACTTCAAATATGCTACTGATGAACAGGTAAATTTATAAGCATAATCTATTTGACATTTTTTCAGACTCATAAATTGAAGATTCCTCTTTCATGGCCGTTTAGACAAAGACTATCCATAAGTTCTAAGCAAGTAACCTATATGAAACCGAAACTGTGCTAGAGCTTATCTCCCATAGTCATTTACATTAGACTGATCACATTTGGAATAAAACTTGTGATCTTGAGGTTGTAAGAGTGTTCATTGGTAGTATCTTGACTGTCATAGAATACTAGAGCTGGAAGAGACCTCAAGAGATCAAGTCCAGTCCCCTGCACTCATGGCAGGACCCAGCACCATCTAGATCATCCCTGACAGATGTCTATCTAGCCTACTTTTAAATATCTTCAGTGATGGAGATTCGACAACTTAGTAGCACATTGCGGTTTGTCTTGCTTAGGAATGAGGTTATAGCTTAATTGGTTCTTATGAGTGGAAGTCAGGCATCTAGACAACCAGTAGAATAGTACCCAGGAGCAAGTAGGACACGGAGCATTGTGATATACTTCCCATTAATGTTTTGTTAACTGAAAGATCTCTGAACTCAAAATAACTCTCAGTCTTTTCTTTTCCAAACTAGATGAGGTCAATTTTTTCAGTCTTCCCTCACAGGTCAGGTTTTCTAGAACTTTAATCATTTTTATTGCTCTTCTCTGGACCTTCTCCAGTTTCTCCACATCTCTCCTGAAATGTGATGCCCAGAACTGGACACAACACTCCAGCTGAGTCCTAATCAGTGCAGAGTACAGGGGAAGAATGACTTCTCATCTAATGTGTTTTTTTTTTTTTTTTTTTTTTTTTTTTTTTTTGCAACAGTGTCACAATGTTGACTCATGTTTAGCTTGTGGTCCACTATGAGCCCTAGATCCCTTTCATCAGTACTCCTTCCTAGGTAGTCATTTCCCATTTTGTATGTATGAAATGGATTATTCCTTCCTAAGGTGGAGTACTTTGCATTTGTCCTACTTAAACTTCATCCTGTTTACCTCAGACCATTTCTCTAGTTTGTCCAGATCATTTTGGATTATGGCCCTATTCTCCAAAGCACTTGCCACTCCTCCTAGCTTGGTATCATCTGCAAACTTAATAATAGTACTTTCTATGCCATTATCTAAATAGTTGATAAAGATACTGAACAGAACCAGTCCCAAAACAGATCCCTGTGGAACCCCAGTTTTTATGACCTTCCAGCATGACTGTGAACCATTAATAAGTACTCTCTGTGAACAGTATCCAGCCAGTTATGCACCCACATTATGGTAACACCTTCTAGGTTGTATTTCCCTAGTTTATTGATAAGAAGGTCATGCAAGTCCATGTCAAATGCATTACTAAAGTCTAGGTATATCACATCCACTGCTTTTTTCCTTATCACAAGGCTTGTTATCCTATCAAAGAAAGCTATCAGTTTCTGACTTTCTATGTAAAAAAAAAACCCCCATCTCTCTCTCTCTCTATTTTCAGATTGAGTTGTTTTTGTATATGCATGTGGCATCCAGATGGAATTTTAATAAGTTTAAGTAGGTGTGGATTCTGAACACCTATCTTTGAGGTTTTAAACTCACATATACTCAAAATAGTACATATAAGCACAGCAAAGTCAAATATATTTGTATCGGTCCTGATTATTTTTAATCTATATCAACTTGTTTTTCTGTCTCTTTCTCTCAAGAGGTTTTAGAAATTATAGGGATCTTCTAATATACCCAGATCATCTACTCTTCCTAAATATTGTTCAATTTCCTGAAATTACCATCTTGTTAGTCTTTAAAGTGCTACATAGTTTTTCCTTTTGTTTTAGCAAGATCAGACTAACGCAGCTACATCTCTATTACTATTCCCCACCCATATCTTGCCATTTTTTTAGATCTCCAGTTTCATCCTGATTGCCAAACTCCTATTGAAGGGCCAAAGAGCAAAGACAAATCTGCAGCACCACTTTTCAGAGCCTGGATCATTTGATTCGTCTTTGTGGGGCTTGTGCTGAACATAGCAATGCCTATATTCTCATTAGGTCTGGTGTCAAGGTTCTGAAACTTGGAAAGGAGGGAGGATCTCTGTGCTAAGGCACAGCTCAAGTAGGAGAATTTAGACTGTAATTTTTAGCTCTGTAGCCTGAGATCCATGAGCCCAAGCCAACTGGACATGCGCTCTGCAACTTGGTGCCATGGTTTTTTCATTGCAGTCTAGACATATCCAAGAAGACCTTTCTGCACTTGTTTATAATCTGAAATCCATGTATCTGGCTATTATAGAGGGCTTTTCAGAGTGCCCATCACAATAGTACATGAGCTCCAAACACTAAAAGTAGACCTGCTAAGCCAGTGGTTTTTATGCTTGAGATCACTTTTTGAATTTAAGTGCAATCCAAGATCTACCTGAAACCCAAATTCCCTTGCCTCGCCTCCTTTGTGCCCCTTCTTTGAGGCCCTGCCCCTGCTCACTCCATCACCCTTTCCTCCCTCTCACTAGGCTGGGGCAGAGGATTGGGGTGCAGGCTCTGGCCTTAGATTAAGGGATTTGGAGTGTGAGAGGGGCTCTGAACTGCAGGCAGTTGAGGTGTTGGAGGGAGTTCTAGGTGCAGGCTCTGGGGGAGAGGGGGCATTCAGATGCATGGGTGCTACGGGTGCCAGATGAGGTTTATGTCTGGGGTAGGGTTTTGGGATGTCGGCTCCAAGCTGGGCCCTGCTTACCTCAGGTGGCTCCTGGGTAGGGGTGCAGTGGGGCTAAGCGAGGCTCACCCCTGCCCTGGCCCTGTACCACTCCCAAAAGCAGCCAGCAAACTCCCTCCACCCCAAACCCTGTTGTCCCCTCTCAAGATACAGGGTTGAAGAGGGGACACCTTCACATCAGCGCCCTCCTGTCCCTCTCCTGCCCTGCACAGCAAGCAGGGGACTCCTGAGGGGACAGCTCCAAGGCAAAGGGCACAAGATGCACAGCAGTGGGGAGAGGGGCAGCTGAAGTGCTGATGCTTGATAGCCTCTTGGCCAAACCAGTCAGGGTCCTCTGTCGGAGGCTCCAAGATCTGCCAGTAGATCCCGATCTACTGGTTGGTGACCACTGGACTAAGCATTCTTTTTTTAAAGAAAATTTAAAATTCTTCAAAAACTTTTCAATGTCCCAATTTTCCACTGAAGCTTGTAATTCCATTACTATGCCTGTGTGTTACCCTGTTTTTATTCTTAGTTCAAATCTGCGTGAGGAGGTTGGGTGATTTGCAGCTAAAAAACACATTAGAGAGCAAAGGAAAGACCTACAGTGAAATTTTGGCACCAAAACTTCAGCTACTATGTGCATCTTAATGTGTATTTCTGTCTGATTCTGCTTGCTTATCAGAATTAATTTATTTGAATGTTCATTCAAGTTTTTAACAAAGATTTCAAAAACAAAAAAAGTCATTACACATGCTAAGAACTAATAAACAGGAAGCGAATAAGATTAGAGTGTGAGATTATAAAAACAGTAATAATATATTGGCAGTATATGCAGTTCACTTATCTTATGCGTGAGTACAAACCTATTTCCAAGTTTGGCAGACGTAAAGCATGTTTACAATTACGCAAATAAATGATCTGTGGTAGTAATAGAGCTCGAGGATAATATCTGAAGAGCAGACATTACTACTACTGTAAATTAGGCCCTAGTCCTGCAAACACTTCTGTGTGTCTTTTAGCTGTAAGTACTTCAGTATTGCCTTTTAATGCAGTGGGATTACATATGTGAGTAATATACAAAACATAAGCAGAAATGTTTGCTGGAGTTGGGCATAGGCTCCTTAGGCTTCAGGTTGATAAACTTGAAAACTGTAAAAATGACATTGTTTGTATGAGCAAAATAAAGAGACACTGATTCTAATGCAAGATTCAGAAACAATGGTGGCAGGGGCGGAGGCTGATTTTGCTCCTGGGGTGGTGTACACCAGGAATAACTCCATTGAGGTCCTGCACTGATGTAAGGGTGACAAGGATCAAGCGTAGTGACTTTTAAAATTGAGTGTGATGAAAATGTCTTCCTATCAGCCTAGAAATCTCCTATTTCACTTTAATGTCACTTCTAGTTGATTAATTTCAGAAATATTGCCTGTCATTAGGGAATATTTTCCAGGGTACATTTTGGAACAAACCTCGTGGAGCCACCATCTTTGCTTTTCAAACCCCAGTAGTGACTAATTGATTTTTCTTTTGTGTAAGGTGGAACAGTGGAGTCTCTTGTGCTATTTTGAAAATTAAATACACACCTTTAATTATAATAATTTTATGCCATGAATTAGCTATAAAGTTCTTAATTCTTTTGACAGCCATTAAATTAAAGTCAGGAACAATTCACACCTACACAATTTGCACCCAAGTAAATTGTAGGTGCTAGTCTCAGTACTTGCACCTCTAGTTACCTGTTAGAGGAGCAGATATCAAGATATGCACTTGCAGGATTTTTTTGGGATACAAAATGCAGATGTAAATTGTACTTGCAGACAGAAAGGCTGGCCTCTAGCCTTTTTGCTTGCCAACATCAAACTCATTGTTTGAAAATTAAATCTGTATTGCTAAGTAAAAATTACCAGTAATATTAAAATCTTATTCTGTCTTCATAAACAGCTTTCAGAAGCTATCATAATAACTTAATTAGTTGACCTGGAGGATACTTACATTAGTTAGCAGAAAAATTATTCCACGTACTATAGAAAGTCAGAATAATTGAAGAAATCAGAATAGCAAGTGGAGTTTTATATCTTCTGTTTTAATTAATATAAAGGGCTGATTTTTTTTCATAATAGTTGGCATTAATTACTGCAGTCAAATTAAGGTTGAATTTTAAAATATTGTCTAGTTCCAATATTGATTATGCCTGTATTTCCGTAGGATTTTTTTATGTTGTATTTCTTTTTTGCTGAAACCACAGTAAAGCATATTTTATTGTATTCTCCTTGCTACTTTAAATAACAGAACAGTAATTCATAAGCTATCTATTGTTCCCTTTTGGCTATTATTT